ATACCACTCATAGCTTGTCTATCAGGTTCTACATCACTGCTAAAGGTTTTATATCCTCTTAAATTGAAATTGTCTTCTGGTTTAAAATGGGTTTCTTGTAAGCACACTCACATTGGTGTATGATTGACCGGTAGCAATTTCAGCTCACAATAAAGGAAGATACAGCCGTTAATATTACATTGAATAATATTTTCCGTGGTTGGGATGTGGTTTTGCTGCTATAGGATGGGTGGGTCCTGTTTATTTTCTTGGTTTTCCTCTTGATCATCCTTTCTTTTTCTTCTTACGCGAGATTTTGCTTGGATTGATGGACTGGTAATCATTGTTTTCCGCACTTACTATCGAACTTGTCTCTGGGCCAGTGATCGTGTCTTGATCATTCGTGGTGAATGATTTCGTTTTTTGTTTGAGTAAGACCTCCTCCTTGGGGTATTTTTGAGGACGAGGCGATTTACTTCTATAGCCCTTTGCCCATACTTCTTAGCTGGATGTGGCTGAGGGGGCAGCCACTGGATTTCTTTCTGCCTCATTTGGTGGGGGGTGTTGAAGATTGCTTTTCACTTACTATTTCACTTTGAGTGATTGTACTTAAGTCTTCTGTGTTGATTTTGTTGTTGTGGAATTCATTAAAATAAGTTTCTATGCAGCAAGTTATTGCAGGCATTAGTTCTTTCACTACTAATGAAGGCAAATTTGTGCTTTTAGTAACTGCTTCTACGTATGTAATGTTTCCTTTAATTTTAGGACAAGAGTTTTTTGCTTCAGGATAGCTGATCTTTTGTCTGAATTCTACTTTTTGTATTGCTGCCTCCTGCTTATAGTTGGGCAGTCCCTTGACCTTGATGAATGCTGTCCGCTGCAATTAATGCATTTGGTAGAATCTATGCATCGATCATCACTATGAAATGGCTTTTCACTGACATACTTCGATTCTCACATATTTAGATGCTGTATGTTTATAACGTAGTGTGTCGTCATACAGGTGTAATGGACAGAGTGATTTGACGAGAGTGATTTGTAAGAGAGTAGATTTATTAACAATTTAGACCGTAGTCTCAATTTAACAACTACCCTGCTCACAATAAACTAAATAAATAGACCCACTACAAGGAGAGATAATTTAAGAACGGCTACCAGACCGCAACATACCACCGATGTTCCCTGTATGAAGCCGCTCTACTTTAAAAACATCTACGCGTCTCGCAAGTCACGACAATGAATTGCCGGCCCCTCGCCCTAGTGCACCTACACGCACAGACACGCGCTTCACCTGTCGCCGACGCCGCTAGAACAAGAGGACTGGAGCATTGTTCTCCTGGTCTTATATAGGCCCTTTTGGCGCTACCCGCCGCCCCAATTACCTCCTCCCCAAAGCCGCTCTGGGCCCGCTACGTCCACGGAAAGTCCCAGTGCGTCATCACTCCGCCCTTTGTTCAACATCCGGCGATATTCGCCGATTTCCACGTGGTTGTCTGTTTTGAGCGTGGCACGACGCTACAGTAGGCATTGAAAGCACTGCATCGGTTTAGGAATGAACATTCGTATGGTCAAACGATGAATGTCGGCTTTGATCTTCTGTGGTAACGTGCAAAGATTGAACTTCAGGACATGGAACGCTGAAGGAATTTTCTGCCCATTACGCCCCATTTTTATCCTAGGACAGGCAATGACTCATTGAGAAGCTCGTTCTTGAACTATTTCCTCTTCATTGCAGTTTAGTAAGTCACTGCAAACTACAATACCTTTGCAGATATTCAACGTGCCATGAGCACTTACTTCAACAACTATTATGCCTATTTTGCTCAATTCTAGTAACCTTTTTGCCGTGAATGTTATTGAATGTTTCTGTCAAGAGACCATAAAGAGTTTTCTTTATCTCTCTTGCGGCAGCACCGGCACGTGCTAATACTCTTCTCTATTAGAAATGGGCTTACTTTATCAACATTTCTTTTCACTGTAAGGAACTTCAGTATCGCTGCAGTGTTCTTGAACAAGTCATCAGGGTTTATGATTCTTCCAATTTTTATTCTTTTTGCACTGAATTCAGAGCTTTTTTCTGGACGAGGGTTTTTAAGGAATCCCTCAACCCAAGGATCGCAAACTTCCATACGAGTTCTGCGAAGTTTGATGTCACTCGTAACAATATTTGCCAGCGGTGCCGTGATCTGCAACCTTGGCATTGCAGTCGCTGGGTGATGACGCCCAGTGACCTACTTGCGCACCACCGGCCGCCGGTACTGGGGCTCCGATTCCCTGCACCGTAACGGTTGATCCTGAAAGATCCTCCATCTTGTTTTTTTTTTCTTCGGGGTCACCTTCCCCAAGCGGTTTTGAGCTATCTCCAGCTTAAGGAAACGGAAGGAAAAAGGGGGATAGAGAAGAATAGAGTTAGAAAAAAAAGAGTAGAATGAAAACGACTCTTAGCCATCGAAAACTAATGGCGTCGGAGTCAGAAACATAAAGAGTTGGCCGATACGAAGATTGGCCTACAGGACAGAAAACAGAAACGGTGTAAAAAAAATTAAGGTGGCTTCTAAGAATTCTGTTCAAACGTTGTTCTATTGCTAAAAAATATTAAGTGGTGACCATTGCATTGTTGAAATTACTTCTATTCTTCAAAATTTCATTGAATGGCATAGATAGAGTAAAATGTTGGATGAATGTATTGTGCATGTAAATGATGAGAAGTAGTGTTATGAGGAGTTAATATACTTTTTATTAAATATATAAATACACATTGGTTAGCAGGTTGTAGTTAGCATAATTTTTTAAACTTTTAATACGTAAATGCATACATACCTCATAGATAATTAGTGCATGTAAATCCAGTCCTCGTAATGATCTTCATTCTTGCCTTTTGCTAATTCATTTACAAATATGGTTTAAGCCTAATTTGCATTCAAACTTCTAAAATTTGGTAGATTTCAAAATGCAATCTATTTCTCAGTTTTAGATCTTTAAATCATTTCATGAACCCCTTTTTCAAAATATTATTTTTTTCATGTAATTTGGAGTTAATCAAGACTATATACTTTGGGGAAAAATTACTTATCATATAAATACAAGATTATCTCAAAACAGCTTTAATTTTGAAATAATTTCTTTAAACTTTTTGTGTGGACTAAACACAATGCATTAAACCACATAAGCACAATTTTCATTAGAACTTTTGAATTTTAGTAAAATAAAAATATGTAATTATTTGTAATTTCCCATGTATATTGAGTGAAAATGGAGATTTATCAAGAGATATCTGAAGTATTCATAACATGAAAGTTGTCATATTGTTTGAGGGGGTCAGGAATTGGCCGTCTTGGGACCGCTGGGGCTCAGTCATATTTATCGAGGGTAGGTGCACGTGACTTTCATGGAGGAGAATTTTGAGGCTGAATCTGTTTTTACACTCAGGTTTGTTAGCCATTGGAGATGAGGTGGAATTTTACCAATGATAAAGGATGAAAAAATGGATGAAAACATTCAGAGTCACACAAACACAACCATGCCTGAGGCGAGATTCTGTCCCATGATTCTTTGGTCCGAAATTGACAGGGTGCGACTGCCTTAGTGATCTCGGCTACTTGGATTGGCAATTGTCATATAATAATATTACATAACCAGTAGAAATAGTTCTCAAAAGTGTACACTGTTGTAGCACCACTTGTTAAGTTTTTTTTTTTTTTTTTTACAACAGTATTTGTTGATATTTGAATACTATTTTTTGGGGAAACAGTAATTGGTTAAAGAGCATATTTAAATTACTCATGAAATCCAATTCCTTTCCAAATATGTATGTGAGATGTAAACATTTTTTCTGATTTCTGCAATTACCTTTCTCTTCTGAATGTGTTTTCTTCAGTAGAGGTGAGTCTACTCCCTGTACTGAAACACAATGCAGGATCAATGACATTGCACAATTGAGTTATTCTCTTGAAAGCCAACTACTGAACTGAAAGAAGATTTTAGTTGAATAATAGAGGAAAGAACAGAATTAAAACTAGAGAATATAACTTGAAAAATCTGTTCAAGTTCTATTTCTGCTCAATTTCACAGTAATATTAAGTGAAAGCAAATGTCTTTTCAGGACTATTCTGAATCTTGAAAATGCTCTTTAAATGGTCTGTTTATTTATTTATTTATTTATTTATGTATTCTAAATCTTATTTCATAATCGAAAGCAAATGAAAATAATTTTGTAGCAGGGGCTACCCACCAAAACAATTAATTTCAAACACATTGTTTTCAAAATAATTATTCAAAGTAATGCAACATCAATACAACTTCTCTTTCTTGTAAATTTGAAAAGCATTGGAACCAGTAGAAAGTACTAAAAATCCTATTTCTTCATACTAATTTATTTCTGTCAAATATTGAATTATGCCATTCTTGCAGCAAATTAGCAATAACTTCTAAGAAGTAGACTCTATCTCATGAAATTTCTATAGACAATATGGGCTTGATGCTTCAAGAAAAGTTGCCACACCTTCAAATTTTTTATGTGTCCAAGTAGAATAAAGTCGTGTATTTAATTTTCTTTATTAATTTTGTTTCTTTGTTAGTTGTAATTAATTTTCAAAGAACTGGAATTTCATATGTCCCTCTCCACATGTGATATTGAAATTTAAGAAGTATTCTGTTAGCTAATATTAAGATAATCATTGAAATTGATTTATCAATTTATTCTAAAATATTATTTTTGATAAAATTTTAATTTTTAAATCTTCAACAAAATGGAGTACTTTTTAAGCACCAGCCTTCCAGACACACCCTGCAAGCCAGCGATGGCCCAAAACACACAGCCATAGCAACAAAGGAAATACCACAATTTTTGTAAATATAAGAGACATCAGTAGCCTTTCAAGATGGGTATATGAGATTAAAAAATTAAATAGTTGATTATATGTAGAACAAGAATACAAATGTGGGGAACTGTCTCATTTTTTTTAAGTATTTCACTCAAAGACTTCAATTACTTCTTACCATGAATTTTATTTTGATCTCAGGTCGATTTCAAAAGAAGAAAAAGAGAAGGAAAACAACAAAAAAAGTTCCCCTATAAAACAGCATACTATTCGTCCCTCTTTGAAATCATTAGCACATGATAAACATCTAAGCAGTGAAAGGAGAAAGGTAAGTAATAGTTTACATATGTAACATGCATGATATTCATATGTTCATGAATTTCAAACAGAATCTTGTATTAACCAGTTAACCTTTCCAACAGATAATGCAAGGATAATTCTAAAAACTATTTTTAT